GATATGCAGGATAGTTATGACTGAGCGGCAGGATAGGTTTAGTGGAGTCAACATGTCTGAGTGAAAATTGAAGCCATACATAAAGAATGAGAGAGGGAGAGAGAAGACGAGAGATAGAAGGATGTATATAAGCACGGAGCCGGGGAGATTGTGCCAGACAGAGACGTGGGACGACGCCAGCCACAATTGGTATGACGATGTTTGATGCAGCATCTACAGCTTGGTTGTTTTGGCTGTTGTCAGGGTGTGAGGCTATGCGCAATGTGTTGACGCCACCCAAAAATGCACGACCGAGTCCCGTGGTTGGCGGCTGGCCGAATCCGGCCTGTTGCCATGCCCATTCGGACGTACTCCAGACGAGTTCCTGCACCCAGTTGACTCACCTGTGTTGACGAGGCCGTTGGTTATATCAATGTCCCGGTTACGTCTTCCTTTGAGAAAGGATGTATGCCTCTTTTCACATCCCCGCCTCTACACTCGAACTCCCCTCACCCACCGTGTCTACACGATCCCGTGTCAATGTCGCCAGATCTGATCCTGTCTGCCTGCTCGCGGTCGAAAATAGAGAAAGAACAAAGGCAGAAATACAGAAATACAGAAAGAACGAAGAAAGGAAAGCAAGAAAGATAGATGTATAAATGGATAGATGGATGAAAGGATAGATGGACATACAAATGGATACATAGATGGATGTATATATGGATGTATAGATAGATATATAGATGCATGGATAGATGTATGGATAAATGTATGGATAGATGGATGAATAGATGGTTGAATAGATGGATATATAGATGATTGTATAGATGTATACATAGATTGATGTATATATGAATGGATAGATAGATGCATATGTGTAGGGATATATATGTGGGTAGATGTATGTATAGGTGGATGGATATATGTAAGGATAAATTGATGAGTCGATGTATGGATAGATGGATGAATAGATGGATGAATAAATGAATGTATAGATGGGTGTATATATATGAATTTATAGCTGGATGGATGGATGGATGGATAAATTTATAGATAAG